TATTTATTATTTATAAGATGACACATGAGCAGACATCAGCTAATAATTAATGCCTAATATATTATCTGTGTGCTCATCAAATTATATTTACGAAGTATCTAATACAACCATTTATTTTTATTTGCAAACATTAACAGCTGTTGTTAGTTTATTGTCTGCTATAAGTTGCTGTAAACTAATGTAAAATATATAGGACAAATATAAGAATAATGCAACATATAAGGGGAGGGAAGTGGGTACTTCGAATCCACCAATTAATAAAATTCATTAATTAAACATACTTCAAGTCGGAAACAGTTTATATTTTCAATTTAGGCGATTGTGTGGTTATTAAAAATAAGAGCACAATTAATTAAGAAAAATTCCACATAACTGTTTCAATCCAAATAGTACCACTTGTGAAGCAAAAAATACCAAGCGGTCTTAAGATAGTATTTTATATAACTAATGTGTTGCTGTATATACAAAGATTGATCACTGTATATAAAGGCTAATTTTTAAAAAAAAGTTTAATTCTGTTGTCACATTTATCGAGTTAAAAACTACCACGGCTAATTCAAAAGTAAAAGTGAACATCTTTGGGTCAAGTGTATTTTTTCTAGAATATAGAATGTAAAGTCAGTAAACAAAAAGCATATTTCTTGAAGTTGAGGCCTTGTGATTTGAAATCCTTTAAGAATTGTCTTTTTTTTAGAACTAAAAGAGTTGATCAATATTTGCCTGAACTTAATATGGCTTGTAACATTTTAAGAAAGTGTATGGCCACGTGTTTTAATGTACAGGTTTAACAACATTAAGCTAAAATAAAATATGACACCGATTATTTATATACACTGAAATATAACATTTAATACATTAAATAAAATATGAAATGCTTATTGTTAGTTCATTGTAAACTTCATCCAAAATTATTAGTATACTATAATATAAATTGAGAAAGATTTATTACAGCTAATGTTAACATTGATAACATAGTTAATAAATTGCAGTTCAGTTTCAAATGAAATCTATAGTTAGACAAATTCAAACATGTATGCAGATTGTAAGTTATTAAGGACAAATACAAGAAAATAAATATGACATTGATACTAAGAAACAGTATTTAAGAATAATGCACATATTTAGCGTTAGCAAATTTAAGAAATAATAAACAATATAATTTTTAAAAATCAAAATAATACGCATTAGTAAGAAACCCATTTCTATGTTTTGGAACATGTGAAAAGCTTCTTGTAAGATTTATAAAATGTTGAATTAAGACTTACGTAAATAATAAAGTTGATTGAAGAGTTTATTTGATAAACAATTTGCATTAAACACAAAATTACTAGTTTTATACGGGAACTGTATATTATCTTCTCGTAATATAGAAAATAAATATCAAATGTGTTCGAAGGGACTAAAACCAACGCTACTACACAGAAACACAATATTAACGTAATTTTGATAGATTTTAAATCTTTAACTCTTTTCTCCGAAACTGAGCCTGAAAACATTGTCTTCGCCTTCCTAGAAGACAAAGTTAACCTGTAAATTATCATCAAAGAACAAATAATAATTGTTGCGGTTGGGATAATTCCATTTGTGCTAAGCAAAATATAATGTCGATGTATCTTATAAAATAATTCATTTTCTAGGGCAAATTGACACGTTTTGAAATAAAACACAGTTTTGTTATTTACTACTTTTAGAAGTAAATTGAAAAGAAAAGTATACGGCAAATAAAATGGAACTAAAATGATGGTGACAGAAATAATAATTAGACTCATTCTAAATGGAGACAATAATCGTGAAACTTTAAATGGAAACCATACAGCAATCATACGTTCTATTGCTATAACCACTACAAGATCTATGCTAAGTTGTGTTGAATATTGGTTCCAAGCAAAAAAATAAACTGAAAAGAATGAATATACGCTATTTGTTAGATCTAAGTCAAAATACTCTATTATATATGGTAGTTGATTCATAGACTCTGATATTGAGTAAAACAAATCGGACGCAGCTAATGCAGTAAGTGCAACATTTGTTGGTGAATTAAAACCGTTGTATTTTAAGACAACAATTGTGATTGCATTTCCAAGAATCCCTAAACAACATAATGTTTGTATCAAAACGCAGTTGAAACAAATAAGCAATATGTCAAATGTAGTTTCGGAAATATCATATATGTAAATATGACTGATACTGTTTACTGACTTAGCGCTTTGGTTAATGTAGGCCATAGTTAATCTTTTCAAGTCCAGTGCTGAAAAAAAATATCGCTGTATTTGAGATTTAAAATTGTTAGTTGAATTGAAAGTTTATTAAAGAAAATCATCCAATATATCCAGAAAAATACGTTTCGAGAACTTTATATATTATCATAGATTTGAAGGAGATTATTAATTTACTGTTAAAAAAATAGAAACAACTGAAAACATAATTTAGAACACAAGTAACACTTACATTAATGTTACATTACGTTGACAATGATGTAATGTTTTTAAAATGTTTAAATAATTCATTTAAACTGATTTTATTGCATACATTAAGTAAGTTAGAGGCCTTATATTTTTTTTGGCTATGCACACTGATGCGACCAAAAAAATCGATATTTATGTAATTTACATAAATGAATAGCTACACATATCTTTAGAGTGATGCTTGTAATTCTTATAACCACCGCAATATTTGCAATTGTATATAATTATACAGAATTATGCATCGATTAACTAAACCAAAAAGGGTAAGGCAACTATTTTAAAATAATAGCTCAAAACATTACTAGCATTGGAAAAATACAATGTTTATATCTTCGGCAAAACAGTAAATTTCTAAGAAAATTGATTAATTATTGTTGCATTTTAGGTTACTAAAATATAATTTATGACGTGAGATATGTAATTTTTTGTTTTGTCTTTTTTTCTTTTTTACTTCAAAATTTCGTATACACACACACATAACACACACACCACACACCACACACGGGGGGGGTCTTTTCAGAGCCAACAATTATACTACCGCAGTTGGGCCGGATAGAGAGCACTTTAAAACAAAAGTTTGTGCTTATTGGCGATCCCGTTGATGTAAGTAGTGCTCCGGACCCCTTTTGCACCTTTCCCCAAACATCGAACGACAAGTGTTAAAGCTGTGACTGTTTAATCATTAACTGACATAAGGTCATGACACCCACCCGCTATTACTCTCCATATCCGGTCTGCTACATACCAGGGTTGCCCTTCGACCCATGACCCGGCCGTTAGACTGTCCAGTCAGGATCAAGCTATGATAGTGAAAATCTATGAGTCAGAAAGGCTTATAAGATAGGTCAATCGCTGATACCATAAAATGGACCGGTAAAAAAACAATATATTTATTTACACTTCTTTGGGTCTACCCGTATTTTCACCGTTGGTAGGGATGCTCACATTTTCAATGGGGAAACAATCGTTTCCAGATTGGCAAGTACTGTGGCTTTTTATTATTGTACCTACTGTACAAGTTTTGTATCAAACGTTAATTACTTATAATGAATACTCAAGAAGTCAACAATTGCAGTTTACCCGAGGTCTGTATAAGCCTATTTAATTCTATTATTATAATTCCCTATGGAGAGTGACTACGACCCTCCAATCACCTTTTATATTACAATATTTTATTAATAATGAAAATTTCCATTTTTAAGTTGACAAAAATATCTGCGAGAGACTTAAGGTGCTCAACGACTGCCGAGTCACAAAACCCCTGCTATTTAAAACATGTAATACCAAATGATTTACCGTGAGGACTGTTGGGTTCTAGAATCTAGGGGTATATAAATAACAACAGACAAATACGACGTATACAACAATAACACTAACACTCTATAATAACAATAATAATAAGATATTTAATAATATATACAGTACTTAAATAATAAAAGGATCAAAAGGGGTCTACAACATAAATACAATACTCAACACCACGTTCCATGTTCCACGTCCACAGCCACACTACAACTAACTGATTCACACACTGGCACACGCTCTGACACCCGTCACCTGACACACCTCACGTGAACACCTCTCGCTCCATGTAAACACACTCAACCAAGGGATACAACTATACACCAAAGGGAGGGTACCTGTCGTTCCAGCACACAACACACACACACACACACACACACAAGCAGGGGACATGTAAGGGACGTAACATCCCTCCCCTCCACCTTCAGATCTCTTTTCCTTAAAGAGATCAAACATCTCTTGTTCCATTAGCCACTGTTGGTGCCCGAGCTCGACTATTTATTCTTCAGCCCTTAGGACGCCTCGCTTTGACCGGTGGGCACAGCGTTTGGCTTGTATCCAGCCTGGACAGTTCGGTCCAGAGTGTGGCTTGTATCCAGCCTGGACAGTTCGGTCCAGAGTGTGGCTCGCATCCAGCTTTAACATTTCGGTCCTGAGTGTGGACTATGGTTTTCTCCGGCCGGGCATCAAGCTCTTGGTCTGACTATCTCAAACTATGAAGATACATGTGAGAAGCCACAATAAAAAAATTAATTTGCATAATCATTCTAAACTGCATCAGTAATACCTTTCTCAAACATTTCTCAATATAATTATATTATAATGCCTCAATAGTAAATTCCATAATATAATCATACTATACTCCAACAATAATACATTTCTCAATATCATATACACTAGTTGGCGTAAAACACTCGTGATAGAATGTCTGCTACAAAGTTCTCAGTTCCCTTGATATGTTTCACAGTACAGGCTGTTTCCTGTAGTGTAAGGGCCCATCGGCAGATGCGTACGTCACCATAGATGGTCATCTTTTCTTAAAGGCGATCAAACTGAGTTCCTTTCTCGATAGCCGTTTTAACTACATTAATCATCTCCAGCCCGTAATCCTCATACACAGCTTCTGTACAAAAAAAAAAAAAAGAAAAATTTACATTGATTGAATAAATTATCTTAACAAAAAACTTACCAAGGACACTACCTTTGTAAGGATACGCCTCCAAATTTCGTGCTTTACCTCACTCTCATATGCGAGTCTTTAAGCAGGGAACAATTTCCTAACATATCACGCTGAGCTGTGGGACACACCCGTGATATGTGACCAACACCACCGCAGCAATAACACTTGAGATCATCTGACCATCGATGTACATTTTCAGTACGCCAGTTGCTCGCTCCACTGGTCCCGTTGGGACAGTTTCGTTGTATGTGGCCTGGCTTTCTACAGCTATAACAGGCGCCTGTATCTATATCCATACTGCACTCTTTGGCAATATGACCTTGTTCATTGCACTTACAGCACCGATAAGGTCTTTTGTTGTTTCCATACTCCACAACAGCTCTTTTATCTGACCTATTTCTCCAAGGAAAACCGCTATTACTATTGCTATGACAATCCCTGGCATAGTGTCCATAACGTCCACATGTGTAGCATTTACTGCTCAGACTGACCTTGCTGACACCATGCATCGGTTGTAAACCAGCTTGTCGTGCCTGTCGTTTACTTGATTAGCTCCTGTCTCGTCTAGAGGTATGACAGACTCCCGCTATATGGTCAACTCCCCCGCATGAGTAGCACTCAATTTCTTCTGTGGAAGGGCAAGTGTGGCGTCCTGGAGATCGCGGTGTCTTGTTTTGCCAGGGTATTCTCTCTGCTGTAGAACTTGCAGCGACGTACGGAGGGGTTTGGTTTACTGGCCTCGTTACTCTAGCGTTTCGAGTGCTCTTATAGTTGTCAATAACTTTAAGATTATCTTCCACGCTTACCTTAGCAGCACCATTCAGCCTCTCCAATAGATCACAAGTAACAACCGATTTTATCCGATCAACTATCAGGAGGTTCACCAAGTCCTCAAACGTTTCCTTTATTCCCGACTGCTGGACCCACGCTCTCAAAGCGGCTTCTGTGTTGACTGCGAAGCTTCTCATGTCGTCGTGTGTTGGTACTAGCTGGTGGAATCTGACCCTATACTTTTCCTCGTTGAAACCTGCGTGCGTCAATAACTTTACCTTTACTGACTCGAAGTCATGATGCAAGTTCAGTCCCGTCTCAACGAGGAAAGTCTTCAGTTGTCCACTCATCTTGTCCGTCAGAAGGAGCGACCAGTCCTTGGGGTCAATGCCTTGTCTCTTTGCTTGACTCTCAAAATGCCTCACGTACGCACCCAGGTCCTCGTCTACCGTCATCGCCGCCACGTCCCTCAAGCGGGGTACAGGGTTACATACCTTTGCTACAACCTCGACCTTCGCATCTTCTACCCTCCTCAGCTCTTCCTTTACCCACTCCGCCAAACTGTCATCTGTCAGCCCGATTAGCTTTCCCTCCTCCTTCAAGTCACTTATTAACTGTCTTCAGGCACTCCTGGTAGTCGCCATGCTAAACGGACGAACCCCCAAATGTTGGGTTCTAGAATCTAGGGGTATATAAATAACAACAGACAAATACGACGTATACAACAATAACACTAACACTCTATAATAACAATAATAATAAGATATTTAATAATACATACAGTACTTAAATAATAAAAGGATCAAAAGGGGTCTACAACATAAATACAATACTCAACACCACGTTCCATGTTCCACGTCCACAGCCACACTACAACTAACTGATTCTGAAAATATATTCAAATCTAAACTAAAACTAAAATTATTTAATGACCTAACTGACTCATTGTAACATTTCTCATTCATCTATTATATTATCTTTTTTATCTCATTATGTATGATAGCTATGTACCATTGTTTCTTTATTACACATTTTTAGTGCTATGTGTTACTGCTATGTGTTATTGAATTGTTTTATTTGTTTAAACGGCCAATGTGAAAAAAGGCCTTTGTGCCTAAAATTGTAACCGTTGTTTGAATAAATTTGAATGAATAAATTTGTGTTTTTATTGGACCCACAATTTTGAAAATTCATACAAAATTAGTTTGAAGATATGCACTTAAAATTTTTAGCTGAGTGTCCCAAAATATGGAAGAAAATTATGAATTCATTGTTTATTGGGCTTAAAATATAATAATTTATGAATAATGGAAAATCTACGAATGGGGTTAATTTTTCAAGATGACCGACGTTGTCATAGTTACCAAGATTTTTCCACGAATTTATTTTAATGGAAATGCATATGCAAAGATATCTTAATAAAACTGTAATGAAATAACTGTTTTCTAACAAGTATTATAAGTTTTTTTTTTACCGGAGCCTTCCCTCGTAAAAATACAACAAATATCATTGATTTGTGCTTTACTTTAGTAGCGTGTGTTATATGTATTCATATACGACAGATCTGTATATATTATAAACACCTAATCAATCATGTTTTAAAGATACTTTCGCTATTTATGTTTGTATTACAAATAATTTGCCAAATAAATGCTACTATAAATTTCATTGTCTATGAAACTTTCAATTCCTAGTTTGCTAAAATATATAAAAATAAACTTATATTTTTAATATGGGTTAATATATGTGTGTCAATGTGTATGAAACATGTTACATCTAGTGAGTTGACTACATTAGTTTGATTTTTAATATTTTTGTTTACTTTCGAATATATATTGCAAATTTTGGCAAATGTTTAGATAATGATTTTCTAAAGGAAGCTTGGCTCATTTGGAAGCACCTATGTAATAAAAATACAAATTATACTTTTTTTTTTAAATATTTAATTTAAAGAACTATGAATCTTCTCTAATATATACGATGTTAAGAAATAGTAATATTTTTACATTATTTTAATAAAAAATAGCTAAAGTATAATACTAATAGTTTCGCTGTCTGACAAGAACGCTCTGTCTGTCAAGAACGCTCTGTCTGACAAGAACGCTCTAGAGAAAACACAAGCAAAATAAAAACATGCACAGTAATTCGAAAAACGAAATATGACGTCGACACATTTAGCGTAGAGTAGAAAATAATCTCAAACCCAGAGAGTGCTCACAGTTATATGACGTCATTGATTTTCGCGTTAACATTGAATAAAAAGGAAATGTTGTCTAATCTTAATGGTTTGCGTGAAGAGTTTCTTGCATACAATTCTTCGGGTAGGGGCGAAGCCCCACCCCACGCGTAAGAACGTCTGAGCCCCCCCCCCCTCCCCAACTCAAAAGAAATTTCTTCATCGATACTCTATAATAAAATTACCGCCTAATTAATGTGTCTAATCTAAAAAGTGGTTTTCTTGCAATTTCTTTAATGCAATTCTTCGGGTAGTGGCTAAGCGCGACACCAGTGTTTCTTTCAGACTTTTTCCTCCCCGGAGAGGGGTGGGGGGTACTTGGAATTTTCGGGGGCGGACACTGGAAAAAGTATATAATTATATTTCGTTGAATGGGACGGTAGACATGTTTTTTTGGGGGGTGGGGGTGGGTGGGTGGGGGTGGGTGGGGGGTGGTGTGTGGGGGGTGGGGGTGGTGTGTGTGGGGGTGGGGGTGGGTGGTGTGTGGGGGGTGGAGGTGTGTGGGGGTGGGGGGTGGGGGTGGTGGGGGTGGGGGTACTTGAGGTTTTCGGGGGCGGGGGTAGAATTTTCGGGAAGGGGGCGGACACTGGAAAAAGTATATAATTATATTTCGTTGAATGGGACGGTAGACATGTTTTTTTGGGGGGTGGGGGTGGGTGGGTGGGGGTGGGTGGGGGGTGGTGTGTGGGGGGTGGGGGTGGTGTGTGTGGGGGTGGGGGTGGGTGGTGTGTGGGGGGTGGGGGGTGGTGTGTGTGGGGGTGGGGGTGGGTGGTGTGTGGGGGGTGGAGGTGTGTGGGGGTGGGGGGTGGGGGTGGTGGGGGTGGGGGGTGGGGGTGGGGGTGTGTGTGTGGGGGGGTGGGATGGTTTTAGTTTAGAGAAAAGAGACAGCACTATCAGCCTAGCGCCCGTTGTACCCTTCCTCAACGGGCCATTTATCTAGTAAGTTATATTCATGTAAATGAAAAATCAACATAATTCATGTCGTTTGACGAAATTTTGGAGTTACAACAGTTATAGAGCCTGGCTATATATATTTCATTCCGGAGTGTATGTTTTTTTTTTTAAATTGAAAGAAAACTATACCGTCAAAACAATAATAAATGTATACTGTAATAACCAACTAGACATTACAATAAAACTACACAAAAAACAGCCTAACGTATTATGATAAATAGTTTTTACAAATAAATGTAAGCCTTTTCGTACATGGAAATTATTCATTTTTAAAACCTGCTTAAAACAGTTCGATAGTTGGACAGTTGGATCACACCTTATCAAGGAACAGGGGAAATATATATATATATATATATATATATATATATATATATATATATATATATATATATATATATATATATTAATGTGTGGTTCTTTTTAATAAATTGTGTGTGTTACATAACTGAATAGCACTTGTTATATTTGAAATTAGAGGAACATTACCATTGCAGTGTTTTTACAAAGATGAAGAAAACTCTAGTCATCGCAATATGATACATTCATCATAGGTTAAAGTGAAGTTTTGGAAAGTATTAATTTTCAATATATTACGTTGTGTTGATTCCAAATATTTGGGTAAAAATAGCAACTACGCCAAAATTTCCAGTGTTGTATATGTCAAAAAGGTTTGGGTAATTATTTTAGAAAAGTACCGATATCTAGAATCGGAATTGTAGCATTAAGCTTATCGTGGTACATCCAAGTTATTTAATGTGTAAACGCATTTGGAATATAAAAATTGCAGAAAATACAAATAAGCAGATACAAATAAACTAGTGACAATGAACCGTATAAGAAATAATATAAGTAACCTTGGAGCAACGCAGAGATCATTCTCTCAACAGATGTGACAGTAACCATTAGGACACTCATACACACAGCATACTGGTTCCATCCATGTAAATAAGTTGAGTTGAGTAGCATGCCTAGATTTAGCAAAATGCTTCATTGCTAATCATACGTGATTTGGTTCTAGTGATTTAAGTAGTTGAGGAATTAAGAAAAATATATCCAACACTGCCAAAACAAAAAATCACAAATAGTTAGAATGTTCCCCACAATAACACACAGAGCAGGCAGCATAATACAATTAAATAATACAATTAAATAAAATATTTTAAGTAATACATGTCTTCTTTAGCACCAGTATTTCTTTCAGACTTTTTTCACTAGAATGGGAGCACTTGAAATTTTCTGGGGGGGGGGGGGGGGGTGGGGTGACGAACTAAAATTCACCCCCATCCTCCCGAAGAGATGCCTTGAAGAAACTCTGTTTAGAAATATCAATCGTTATATTTACACTTCTTCTGTTAAAGGCGTGCATGGTCTCAGGATATAAATCGAGATACAACCTAAATATTTTACTATATTGGATGTATTAGGCATCATTTGACTTGTAGTAAGAACAATGTCCTTTTTGCAAGATCATTACGTTGTTAACTAGACAACTGATCCTTACGAAACAGGTGGGTCAACAATGCACATTCTTTTGCCATGAATATATCG